CGCGCCCGGCGCGCCAGGCGCTGACGTGTCGGTGCGGGCGCTGGCGCGGGACGCGGGGGGATGCGGGCGCTGATCCTCGTGGGCGGCTTCGGGACGCGGCTACGGCCGCTGACCCTGAGCCGGCCGAAGCCGCTGGTGGAGTTCTGCAACAAGGCGGTGCTGCTGCACCAGCTGGAGGCTCTCCGGCAGGTGGGGGCGCGGGGCACGGGGGGTGCGGGGGCCGCCCCGCCGCCGGCTGACCCGCGCTCCCGCAGGCGGGCGTCAGCCATGTGGTGCTGGCGGTGAGCTACATGTCGGAGGCGCTGGAAGCCGCCATGCGGGAGCAGGAACAACGGGTAAGGGCCCTTCCGCCTCCCTCCGCCTCCCCCCGCAACCCAGCCCGCCCCGCCACTCACCCTGTGCCCGCAGCTCGGCATCCGCATCTCCATGTCCCACGAGAAGGAGCCGCTGGGCACAGGTAGGATGCATGTAGGGGCGGGGGCGGGCGGGATGGAGTGAGGCCCGGGGGCAGCGGGGTGGGTATGAATGTGTAGGGCTGGGGGGCAACAGGGGCGGGACGGCATGGACAGCAGCATGGGTATGGACAGCGTACGGATGGGAGGACAGGGAGCACCTGGAGGGGGATGCCAGGATGGACATGGGCAGGACCAGGGAAAGCGGGGCCAGCTGAGGATCCAGAGGGACTGGGGACTTTGCGGGGGCATGGTGGGACGGGCAGAGGCGGGGCCAGCAGGACCCGGGCACTGGGCTCACCGCATCCCCGCGGGGTTATTCCCGGCTGGGCAGCGGGGCCGCTGGCACTGGCACGGGACCTGCTGGCCGAGGACGGGGAGCCCTTCTTTGTCCTCAACAGCGACGTGATCTGCGAGTTCCCCTTTGAGGCGCTGGCCCGTTTCCACCGGCACCACGGCGGCGAGGGCTCGCTGGTGGTGACCCGCGTGGAGGAGCCGGCCAAGTACGGCGTGGTGGTGTGCGAGGCCGACACCGGCCGCATCTGCCGCTTCGTGGAGAAGCCGCGCGTCTTCGTGTCCAACAAGATCAACGCCGGGCTCTACATCTTTAACCCCGGCATCCTGCAGCGCATCCAGGTACAAGCCAGGGGGCTGGGCTGGGCCAGGCTGGGGGGCTGGGCCCCCTGCTCAGCCCTGCTCCCTGTCCCTGCAGCTGCGCCCCACCTCCATCGAGAAGGAGATCTTCCCGGCCATGGCACAGGACGGGCAGCTCTATGCCATGGAGCTGCAGGGTAAGGCCCTGTGCACAGTGCAGGCAGCATCGGGGGTCTTGCCTGCTCTGCCACCCCTGCTCTGGGGATTGTCACCACGGCTCTGTCCCCGCAGGCTTCTGGATGGACATTGGGCAGCCAAAGGACTTCCTCACGGGCATGTGCATGTACCTGCAGGCGCTGCGGGCTCAGCACCCTGAGAAGCTGCACTCAGGGCCCGGTGTTGTGGGGAACGTGCTGGTGGTAAGTGCCAGCCCCCAGCACATCAGCCCCGGGCACATGTCATGGGCTCTCCGCGTCGTCCCACTGCTCTCCTCACTGCCATCCTCGAGCTGTGCCTTCCTGTCCCCACGCTGGCCTAGTGGCCTGGGCTGTGCCAAGAGCTCTGTCTGCCCTCCCAACCCTGGCACAGCCCCTCTTCCTTCCAGGACCCCAGCGCCAAGATTGGGGCAAACTGTGTCATCGGCCCTAACGTGACAATCGGGGCCGGCGTGGTGGTGGAGGACGGGGTGCGCATCAAACGCTGCACCGTGCTGGAGGGGGCCCGCATCCGCTCCCACTCCTGGCTGGAGTCCTGCATCGTGGGCTGGAGCTGCTCTGTGGGCCAGTGGGTGAGGCCCTGGGTACCCCTGCAGGGTATTGAAGCTCAGCTCTTGCCCTCCCGCCTCCTCAGGCTGTGGCTGGAGGGATGTGCCTGTGGGCAGGAGCGGGAGCACAGCCCAGGGCCTGAGCCGGGCGGGTGTGACGGAGCCTCTCCGGGCAGGTGCGCATGGAGAACGTGACCGTGCTGGGTGAGGACGTCATCGTCAACGACGAGCTCTACCTCAACGGGGCCAATGTGCTGCCACACAAATCCATCGCCGAGTCCGTGCCAGAGCCGCGCATCATCATGTAGCAGAGCACCCTGCGGCCCCAGCCCTCCTTGGATTAAATATTTATATTTCCATTTACTGTTCAGCATTACCTGAGCATGGCCCAAACACTGGGTCGCTTGCCAGGGCTGGCCTGGCTTCCCCTCCCTGTGTCTCAAGGCACCACATAAGGAAGAATAATTTAATGTTGCATTTCACGAAGTCAGCCCCCAGGCAGGGGCAAGTTAACAGCCCGAACGCCCAGCCCAGCCCCACTGCCCTGGGGCTGCCACATGTTCCCAGCGCTGCTGCAGAGCCAAGGCCTCGGGCTCCCCTCCCTGAGAATGGCCCACAGGACAGAGAGGCTGCCAGGCGAGGGGATGCTGGCCTCTCCCACCCCGCAGCCCCCAGCCCCACACTGCAGCCCCATGCTGGGTCCTGGCCCTCTGGGTGAGGGTCCCACGGCCCTGAGCAGGGCAAGCGTTTGGGGAGAAGCCAGCATGGGGCAGGGGGGCCACCCCCGTCAGCCTGGGGGAGCCTGTGGGGCAGGGCTGGGCTCTATGAGCTGGCTGGCTTGGTGAAGTCGTCCACCCCCGTGATAGTGGCCTTGCAGAAGAAGCAGTCCTTGTTGTTCATCAGGTGCTGGTTGATACAGGCTCTGGGACAGAGGAGGAAAGAGCATCAGCCCCCCACCCTCATGGCACAGGGGAGCTGGGGGCTGGCAGTTGCCCTGGCAGGGGTCAGGCATGGGAGTTACTCACTTGCATGACTTGTGGGAGCAGGGCCTGAAGATGGCAGAGATGGGGTGTGCGTAGCAGATGGGGCACAGGTCCTCCTCACTGGTGGGCTGTGGGGGTCACCAGGCAGTTAATATGGCAGACAAAGCCCTGTGTCTCAGGGCAGCTGTGCCAGAGCCGGGGCTTCTGCCGAGTATGGGGACAGGGCTGGGGTAGGAGACACTCACCAGTGTGGTGGCAGCTGCCTGCTTGGACTCCTCACTCAGGTGGCTCAGCATCTTCTCCACCTTTGCCAGCTCCTCAGCACTGATATACTCTGTGTCTGGGGGGACAGAGTGGGTGTACATGGGGCAGATGGGACTCTCAGGCTGCCCTGAGGCATCTGGGTGATGAAGGGGGTGCTGCATCCCCTTGGGGACCAGCCAGGACAGGGATCCCCGTGCTGGGGACAGCAGGCTGGACATTGGGCACTGAGAGGGACAGAAATGCTGACAAGCAGGCACTGGAGACATCCCCATCTAAAGTGTCCTGGGGGATAAGGGTCAAGGATGCCTGTCCCCAGGACTAAAAGGGCCGGGACATGTTGCAGGGGACACAGACACCACCAGCAGCCCCGTTCCCAGCCCAGCTGTGGGCAGGTGGTGAGCACAGCCCAGCTCCCAGTGCAGTGCCGGCACTTACAGGTGTGCAGGGAGAAATGGCGCTTGTCCGTGGCCGGGGCAGCAGCTGCCAGGGCCGAGGGCTCAGCGTGGCCCAGCAGGTACTGGATGGAGCGCAGCTGGAAGCAGGGATCTGCCAGCAGCACCGCCGTCGCTCGCTCGGCCCTGCCAAGGGACACAGTCAGATCACAGACAGCACACCCTGCAGGCCCAGGCCACCCGGCTGCATCCCCAGCTGGTGGTCCCCCCGGTCCCTGAGAGCCAGGGAAACATGCCCAACTGCAGCCACAGGGTAGCAGCCACCCTCCTCCTCCCCTGTCAGCCTCGACTGGGAGGCTCCGGCGATCGATATGGTGCATCAGCACTTGCTGAGGCTGCAGCCCTCGCACCGGTGCCCACAGAGCCTGGGGAGCTGTGGGGGTGGCTGGAGCTGCCAGCGCTGCCCTGGGTCACAGCCCCGCAGGGGAGAAGGGGAGATGTCCCACAGCAGCCTCACGCCGGGGGCTGTGGCCCCGTGCACCAAGGGGACAGCTCAGGGTGCCCCCAGGGCAAGCAGATGCCCCCACAAGACAGGAGGGAGCAGTCGTGGCTCTTCCTGGCTTCAGCGGGGACAGGCAGGAGGGATGAAGGGCACCTTAATGGGTGTCTCCATCGGGCATCAGTGCCGTGGCCCGTTCATGGCCTTTGGCAAGAAGCAGAGCTGGCTCCGTGGCCGGCCCAGGGGCAAGCCCAGCCACTCCAGCGGCAAGGGGGGCAGGAGGAGTGAGGGAACATCCAGTTGTCACAGGCTGAGCCGGGGCGCAGGGGGTTAACAGCCCCTTGACTCGCAGCAGCCGCAGCCGCCAAATTAGCTTTTTGCTGCCCTAATGGAAACCAATTCCCCAGCTCTCCTCTTCCCACTAACCGCCTGGGCTCTGGATAATGACATTCCTGCGTGTCCTTCACCCTGTGGCCACCCCCTCTCCACCAGCAGCCCACGGCTCCCCCTCTACCGTGGTGACCCTGCGGGGCTCGGCCATCCTGTTTGTTCACCCCATGGCTGAGGGTGCTGGGGGGTCCCCACCAGCTTGTGCAGGAGGTGGTCAGGATGCGCGCAGAGGGAAGGAGCACGGCCGGGAGATAAGGAGCACTGCGGGGGTGACCGCCATCCCCACTCCCAGCCCGGGCGCAGGATGGAACACGAGGGGCTCCCCGAGGTGACGACGGGGTGGGTTTATTCCAGCATCCTCCCAGAGGCTGGGCAGTGGCGGAGCAGCCGCTTTACGGATTAGAGCCGGTCGCAGCTGCCGTTCTCCGGCGGGAGGGACGCGGCTGCTCACTGGTACGGCCGGAGCGGCCCTGAGCTCCCCCGGGGGACAAGCGACCACGCAGGGCTGCGCTCGCCCTGCCCACTCGCAGGGAGGGCCGGGGCCACCGCCGCGGCCACCACTCCCCGCGCCGGGGCCAATGGGATCCCGCCCGGCCCCCTCGCCGCGCACCGCCCGCGCCTAAATAGGGGCAGGCGCGGGACCGCGCTCCCGCAGCGCGCCCGGCTCCCGGGAGGTGCTGCCCGGGAGGGACCCGGACGGGGCTCCCCGAAGGCTGGAGCGCAGGGATGTGCCCCGGCGGCGCTGAGCGCTGAGAAACTTCGCACTCCAGGGATGCGCAGCTCCAGGAGGCAGCGAGGCGCCCACACAGAGCCCGACACGGAGCGCCTCAACCCCCCTGATGCGGATCGGCGGCTCCCGGCCGTCCCCCCGCAGCCCCCGGCCCGCCGGAGCACAGGTACGGGGCAGCCTCGGGTGAGCCGCGGCGGAGCCGGGCAGGGCGATGCCGCCCTTTAACTCTTTTCAAGCCTCACGGCTGGAATCGGGATCCTCCTTCGCGGAGTGCAAAGGGGCGTCTCTGGATGCTTGGTAGAGCCAAGGCAGCACCGGGGGAGAGCAGGGGGGACGGCGACACGCTTTCTCTCGCGTCTCATCGAGCCTGGCTGTGCTGCCAGGCTGCACAGAAGCTCCTGCCCGCCACAATGTCCCCACCGGTGACCGCAGACCCGCTCTGGCCGCGGGTGGTGAAGCTGCTGCTGCTGCTGCTCCAGCTGTGCGCCCCCGGCCGCGCTCCCCAAGCCTCCCCGCAGTCCCGCCTCTGCCCCTCCGCCTGCATCTGCACCTCCGACCTGCTGAGCTGCAGCCGGCAGACGCTGCAGCGAGTGCCCCCGGCACTGCCGTCCACCACCACCACGCTGGACCTCAGCCACAACGCCCTCACCCAACTCCACGACCGCTGGCTGGCTGCCCTCCCGCACCTCGAGGCCCTCCACATCAGTCACAACCAGATTCGGGACCTTTCTCCGCAGGCTTTCCACAATGCCTCCTACCTGCGGCACCTGGACATGTCCTCCAACCACCTGCACGCCGTGGAGACGCACTACTTCGAGGCGCTGGTGAGCTTGGAGGAGCTGCTGCTCTACAACAACCACATCAAGCGGGTGGATGAAAACGCCTTCGCCAAGCTGAGTGGTCTGCGGAAAGTCTACCTGAGCTGGAACAACCTGACCACCTTCCCCTTCCATGCGGTGCAGGGGCTGGGGATCTACAACCTCCGTACGCTGGACCTCTCCTCCAACTGCCTGAGCAGCATCCCTGTGGAGGTGCTGGTGGCTCTGCCCGAAAACATCGGGAACGGTTTGTACCTTCACAACAATCCCATCAGGTGCAGCTGCCCGCTCTACCTGATGCTCCAGCGCTGGAAGCAGCGAGGATTCAGCTCCGTGAAGGATTTCTTCGAGGAACACACCTGCAAGGTATCTGGCAACGTGCCCCGGTCCCTGATCAAGGTCCACAAATACAGCCCCATGTTTGAGAACTGCTTGGCGGGCCCTGGAGACGCGCACCTCTCGCCCTTCCAGGTGATGGTGGGCCAGCCCATCCTGCTCACCTGTAACACCAGTCTGCCGTCCTCAGCCACTACCTACATGTGGATCTCCCCTCAACACGAGCCCATCAAACACCCGGGGAACAGCAACGGCTCCCTGGAGGTCTTTCGCAACGGCAGCCTGAGGATCGCTGAGGCCAAGCCCTGGCACTCGGGGGTCTACGTAGGCTTCACCAAGAGCACCCACAATTTCAGCAGGCTGTGTGAGTTCAATGTGACCGTCCAGTACCCCAAGCCAGCTGGGGAGACCTTCAACACAGGCCTCACGACTCTGCTGGGCTGCATCGTGACCCTGGTGCTGGTGATCATCTACCTGTACCTCACGCCGTGCCGCTGCCTGCGCTGCTGCAAGAAGCCAGCCCCGCTCAGCCCCCCGCAGGAGTGCAGTGCCCAGTCCTCCATCCTCAGCACCACCCCCCCTGCCACTGACGGGCCGAACCGCAGGGCCGGCGCCAACAAGCACGTCGCCTTCCTCGAGCCCATCAGGGAGACGCAGAATGGCAAGATCCGCCTGGCCCTCGGTGAGGACTTCCCCGACCCCAAGCACCCCAAGGTCCTGCAGCTCAAGTCAGACACAGAGTCCATCAGTTCTGTCTTTTCTGACACCCCCATCGTGTCGTAGCGGGGCAGAGCTGGGAGAAAAAACAGGGCCTCATGACAGCTGGTCTCCATCGCTGCTAGATCAGGATTATTGGGCACCCCGAGTTCCTGGCTTGAGTGCGACCCATGGGAGTGATCATCATCACCCACAACTGCTTCAGCCACGAGCTCCTGGTGGGTTTTGGGTCACAGGCACACATTGGTGCCCAGCAAGAACTCCTTGCATAATCCACTGGCAACAACCTCGTTAGCACAAGGGTAATGCTGATGAACCCAGCATGCTGGAGAAACCCCCCTTCTTTCGGGCACCCACCCTCCCTAATGGTGACACTGGGGCTGGGGATCTGCCACGTCCTCAGTCATGAGATGCCCAACCTGACACCGCCACCACAGACCCCTAGGCCAAGGAACAGCTGTGACATGTGGGACACTGTCCTCACTCATGACAGGGCCTCTGGGGATGGCAATGCCACCGTTGTCTCCCAGCCTGTGCCAGTCCCTATCAGCATGCCATGGCTGGGAGCAGGGGGAGCATGACCCCATCACAGGGGGGGGTACACAGCCTCTCCCCCAAACGTGGCCACGCAGGGGGGATGGAGCTCAGCGCCCACCCAGCCACGCAGCCAAGCAAACCTTACAAGCTTTTGCTTCCTGAGGAGCTGTAAATAGTGAAGGCAGGATTAGGTGACGCGACACAGCGCCCTGGCCCGCATTGCTCACAGCTCCCCGTGCCACCAAGGACAATGAGGTCTCCGCTGCGCCACGCTCCTGCGCTGCTTCTCCTTGAGGCGGACACTGCTCAAGCACAGCTATTTAGGCAGTAACCTAATCAGCCTATCGATAAATGTGAGTAATCCTCCCCTCTCCTGGGTCGTAATTCTCTAGTTCCATTGGAATAAAAATGCCTATTTTTTTAAGCTCACACTGGGCTGAGTGTCTCCTTGCCCTTGCAGCAGCGAGCAGCCACCCCGCGGCTCCTGGGCACAGCAGTGGGAGTCCAGGGTCTGAGCGAGCCCTGAATTCCTGCTGGCCTGGCACAAGGCTCACAGCCTCTGCTCCCATCAAATGGCGTTTGGGTGGCCTCGGCGAGGGGGTTAAATGTGCTGAGCAGGCCTGGGGCTGCTGCGAGAGGCTTTTCCCTGGAGAGCAGGTCCCCAAAGTGATGCCTGGGAGTTCAGGAGGGAGCAGCACTGACTGACACAAGGGCACATCCAGACCCCAAAAGGGATGAGCAGGGTTTAGATGCAGGGGAGAGGCACCGCTCAGGAGGGGACTGGCCCTGCCTTTGTCTCAGTCCCAGTGTCCCCTGCCGATGGAGACCCCCGACTCACTGTAACCTGCGCTGCCTTTCCTGTCACCCAGCCTTGCATTGGCCTGGCATAGGGACTGGCTCTGCTCCCCAACACCTGCCTGATCCCACAGAGGGATAAGGGTATCCTACCCACTTGCTGGTCACCAGCATCCCACCCACAGCTGAAGCAGGAGCACGTGGCTGTCATGTGCAACACAGGGGAGGCTGGGGTCACTCTGCAGGCAGGAGCACAGCTCAGACACAACAGGGACCAGGACCCTTCACAGAACTGCACCCCAACCTGCAACCCCATCTTGTCTGAGCATCCCGGTCCTGAGAGCCGCTGGCAGCCCTGTGACTGGTGGGAGGGGAAGGTCCCTGTGGCACTGGGACAGCACTAGCACACAGCCTTCAACTTTTCCTGCCAGGGAACAAGCAGCTTTTTTCCCAGCAAAACCCCAACTGTGCCTAAAGCACTTGTCAGAAGCCCCTCACCCATCTAAGGAGGGGACAGTGTTTGGAAGAGCAGCTATCCTGAGACAGCTGCAGCCTCCCAGCACTGCTCCTGATGCTGACCTTGCGCTCAGCTCCACACGATCCGTGATCTGTGCCCCTGCAGCCCCCAAGGTGATGGGATGTGGAGCGACAGGCCCTGCCAGGCTGTGCCCTTGCTCCCCCACACCCAGCACTGCTGGCCCTGTCACCTCATGTCAGCACAGCGTCCTGATGAGCCCAGGACACCGTGCTGGCCACACCAGGGGCTGCCAGGGGGTGACGAGGTGTCAGAGAGGTGAGTGACACCTTGAGGGTGGAGATGAGGTGCTGCCACTCTCTGGCTTCGCACCCAGGCAGGGATCCCTGGGAAGGATGGTTTCAATTTGACCTGGGAATGTCTGAGAAAGAGAAGAGACCCAGGCAAGGGCACCCAGGTCTAAACCACACCAGGGCACTGCCCCAAGTGCCACCCATGCCTGCTGAGACAGTGCTAAGCCCATGCCAGAGCACTTGCCACATCTAAGCACCACATCTTCCTCCAAAAGGAAAAGTGAAGTGCTGCTCCAGGCTCCAGCACCCAGATTGAGTGTTACCCACCCACTGTCTCCATCCTTGTCGGTCTCCTTGCAAACCTTCCCCTTCCCTGGCGCCAACAGCAGCTTCCCAGGCATTAGTGCTCCTGCAAACCTGCATCCTCAGCTGAGGGTAACAGCTGAAGCTTAGGGAAAGCTCAGGCCAAGGAGTGTAAGAAAAGCTCTCAGGGACTCTCCAGGGACACACCAGCTTGGAAAAGCCCAGGAGAGCCTGCAATTCTCCTATCCCTGCAGGAAGGCTGAGCCTTGCTCTGCTGGGAACAGCATATCTGAGGTCTGTATCAGTGCTGCCCCCGAGGGATCCCATTGCCTTTAACCACAAAAATCCTGCTGCTGCTTTTCACACCTTCCTGATGCTTAGAAAGGATCCCACACCACACGGCTGCTCCAATGAGCAGGGGAGGGCGGTTCAAACTGTCGAAGCAGTTCATTAACCAGCCTGAAAGGCAGAACATCTCAGCAAGGAAAAACATAGCTGGGAGCACAGCCTCTCTGACAGGCAGGAGTTGAGAAACCTAATGGATGTTCCCTGAGGAATACCCTGTCCTCTCTCAGCAGCCATCTCCACCATCACAGCCCTGGCTCCCACCAAACCACCCTCCTGCTCCTCAGCTTTGCAGGGTAAAGCAGTGGGTCAGCACAAAGCACAGCATCCCCAGCACACAGGGACCTGTGCCAGCATGCATGGGGACAAGGACTAGCTTTGGGATAAGGATTAGCTTTGGAGAACAGCATTCAATGCTGACTCCTGTCTCCCCTGGCACTTCACACCTCAACCAGGATAATGTGGGTGCACTGAATGCCAGTCCTGTCCTGTCCTCCTGCCACTGGGGCTGGACACATGATGAACATGGTTGGACCCGAATCCTTTCCTTATGATGCTCACAGTTTTCCAAAGAGCTCAAAGCAGCAAAGCCTGGTGCTGGCCAGCACAATGCCTGCTCCCACCTCCCAGTGTGTGCCCGACAGCCTTGAGAGGCTGGGAGAGCCCAGCCCTGGCAGTCCCACTGCTCAGGACACAGCGTTTGGAGCTGGCAGCTTGTAAAAACTGCAAGACCAGACTCCTTTTTTAACCATCAAACCTATGTCTGAGCTAGTCATTCTTCCATGCTCTTGCTCACACTGGCCTCAACATGTTACACACTGCAAGACTGGGGTACCACCCATCTTCTGAGACTTTAGAGCAAGGTAGCAAGGACTCCTTTAGACTGAGTGGTCCATGAAATGCCTGCTCCTGCCCCTCCTTCCACCACAGCTCACTCACCAACACATGTTGAAGGAGCATTAGTGTTTAATTGATCAGTAATTACAGGGTCCTGCGGGATTGCAGAGAACTACCATGTCCACAGAGACCAGCCAAATCCCCAGGGTCCCAGCAGTGCTTGAGCACATAGGTACGTGGCTGTTTGGGAACCTGCAGACTAGGATCTCCTGACCTTTCCAGCAGAGATGATCCCAAAACCATTTGGCAACTGAGCAGAGTCTGCTTAGTCTGCCTCCAAGGTGCCTCCAACCCTCACCCTGAGAGCATCATGCCCCTGCCTCTGAGCGGGTGGTGTCCATGGGGCATGGGGGAAGCATGAGGTGTCCATGGGGCATGGGGAAAGCCCGAGGAGCAGAGCAGTGGCCAAGCCCTGGCACAACACTGCTCATCCCCAGCCCAGGATGGCCACTCACTTCCCACAAAGGCCATTCTAACCTATATGCCCAGCCCTAATTACAGTGGGCCCTCACACACAGGGGACCACAGCCTCACCTTCTGGCCTCACCCCTTCCCCTGCGCTCTCTCCCACCAGGATCCTGACACCAACTCTGGCCAACGCTGCTCCATTAGCTCACTCTGAAGGAGGCTTAATAGAAAATCTGCTCAATTATTTAGCAAGCAGACAAACAGGGGGATGATACTGGCTGGAGGCAGCCAGGGTCCGTGGTGTGGATTCAGCCCAGCTCCCGGCTCAGTCTGCCAGATCCTACTTTTCCTCTCCTCCCCACTCAGTCATTAGGGCCTGGCAAACAGGCAGCACATGGACATCTCTGCCTCCTCAGCCCTGCCAGCCACTGAGACTCCCCAAAGCAGTGCTGCCCAGTGCTGTCAGACCCGAGGGCTGGGAGGGGGGCACTGAAGCTTTGGCTCACCACAAGCAGCACCAGCCTGTCCTGCCCAAACCAGCAAGGAAATGCATCTCTGTTCTCTCAAAAGCACAGCCTGCTGCATCCAGGGACTACAGCAAACGATGGATCAACCATCTCACCACAGCCTGGCCTGGGCAATGTTCCCTTGCCTTGTGCTTAATGGCTCTGTTTGATGCCAGGAGTCCGTAGCAAGAGGACTTGATGCCTGGCTGAGTGTCCTGTGCTGGGAAAGGAGCAGCTGAGGCATCTGATTGCAGCCTGATAACATGGCTGGATGAGTTGGCAGGGCCCTGATCCTCCTTACTCCCACCCTTCCCCACCAGAATGTTTTGGCCCCATAAATGAGACTTCATTCCTCCACTCCCAGAAGAGCTTGCAGCACCTTTTAACCAAGTACCTGGTACAGTGTCTGCTTACTGGGTTGGAGGCAACCAGAAAAAACACAGCCAAGCCAAGGAAGTCTCCCGAGGTCCCTCATTCTCTGGGGCACAGCCTTCTCACAGGGAACCAGCCAGGGTAACAGCTAGTGTCCCTGGTAATTCCCACAGGGACATTCCTGCAAACGGGGTTGGAAAAACTTCTCTGTTAATGATTTCTGGCAATCTGGGACCTGGGAGAGATTTCTACCTGCTTCCAGCACTGCCTGGGCAGAGTGTTTCTGGGAAAGGACAAAAACTCATCCCATTATCCTGCTTGCTGCTGAGAGGAAGGGAGAAAGGAAAAGGAAAGGAAAAAGGAAAGCTGTCTCCACATGAGTTCACACAAACGGATCTGCTCTGGAGAGCCTGGTTACATATGGGACCCTTTAAATCACTTCAGTTCCTCCTTGCAGCAACACAACCCATAGCAATCACCTTCCATGGGAATGTACAGACCCGAGGAAGGTTTGAATTCTCCTTTTCCATTCCACAGACCATCCTTTTACCCACGCACCTGGAGACAGATGCTTCCCATTGCTGTGCTCTGGGCCATCGCTGTGCTCCATCACTGACATATCATCTCTCTGGCTTCGGGGCAACTGTTATCCCAGCTGCACCACCCAGGCTTCAGCACCCCGTGGTGATGGTGCTTTGCAAACAGGATCAAACCAGGGCTGAGCCCTCAAGGAATGCAAAGGCAGCAGAAAAGCCTCAGTGGTTGCTCTCATACCTGCTGGTTTTCTCCATCCCACCTCTCTTTGCCATTTCACAATGTGTCTGCATGGAGTAGAATTGCTCTGTCAGTGGGGTGCAACACCCAGTTCTCAATTCAGAGTGTTGCAAACAGGGTGGGGGGTTCAGTTTTTCCTTCCATGTGAGGCACTCTGCCTTTGGCCACGCTGGTCTCTGCCTCCAGACTGCCCATCCCCTCTGTTTAGGTATCAGCAGAGGGTCTCCAAGCCACCAGCCTCAGTTCTTTTACCTTGATTGACCTCAGTGGCTCCCCTGCAACGTTTGCTTGCCTTTTATAGATCACTGATGCATCAAACCTCAGGTTTAGTGCATGGCTTTGCAAAATCACAGACAAGCATTTTGGTTTATAGATATTTTTTCC